GCCAGGGAAGGCTCTGTAAGCACATGACAGCTGAGCTGAGGTATGAAGGTGGAGAAGGAGCCAATCATTGAAGGAAGAAGGGACACCCGGTGCTCAGGTCTTGACACAGGAGACAGCTTGGAATGCACAAGGAGGAGAGAAATCCCACTGCTGGGTTGTACCAAAATCACTCTATTTTTACACACTGAAAACATTGCTGTGGGAATCTAGAATGTCCAATTGGAAGAACCCTCTGAGATCATTTCAGGGAAAACCTTGAATTTCCAGGTGAGGAGTCAGGGTCTGGAGCAGCTCCCCGTGGACTCCCCCAGCTGGGGCCGAATGCAGGTCTCCTGTCTTCAGCGCATGCATCTTCCTGTGTGATCTGTGGCATCTCTGAGTTGATTTGTGTTAGTCACATTTCCCCCTGTCTAAACACTGTCCACCAGGGAGCATGTCTGCTAACCTCTCCTTCCTGAGTGTCAGTGGGTCAGAATTCTAACCAGTTCTCAATTTAGAACATCTAGAAAAAAATCAATCATTTTTCTTATGTGTACTTGCTATTTTTCAGAGTAGGATACAAACACAGAGATAAATTCTGAAGCCCATTTTTTTCTCTTAGCAGTACTGAATTGGATCTGATAGTGAGAAATTTACCACAATGTGTTGTGTTTGTTCCTAAAAGAGAAATGCATGTCCAGGATATATTTTGATGACCCCAATTGATGATATTCAGTTTAAATCTGGATGTTTTCTGCTTTAACAGGGAAGTATGTAATATATTAGGCACTCACAAAGTTTCACTAGAGAAAAATATTATTCAATAACCCCCAAATGGGAAAATTTTATCCTAAGAACTTGGCCCAGACTATGCAGAGTTGCGTCCAGCTCTATTTATCATCTTACAAACTTCTTCATTATGTCAAAATGAAATCTCAGCTGTGCCCTGACTGCAAAGCAAAGGTAGTATGGGCTATTTTAGCCATCTCAACAAAAATATTTTGAGAGTTAACTGATTTTCCAAAAATGTTAATCACTTTTATTCATTTTTGTTCAAGTTTCACAGTTACCATATAACATTATCAGCCTCAAATTTATATTTGTCTAAAGACATTTATGACTTTCTCCTTGATTCCCAAAACGGAAAAACAACCTTCTAGAACATCCATAATAGCCATAGTTTTTAGCTGTGCTAGAATCCTAACAATTTAGCCTTTATTAGGCTTGGTCCCTACTATAGTTCAATTCAAAAGCAGATCTTTCCTGGGCATTGCCCGAATGTCTAAGGGTCAGTCGATACATCTTTCTCTTCTTGGGCAGCCTCTTTTTTCAACACTTTCAGGTTTTCTGGCAACTGTAAGGGCCCAAGTAATTATCCCAGTGTTTTTTCCTTGACACATGCCTTTTGAGGAACACTTCCCCTCTTCTGAGACAAGCATCTGCTCCTTATAAAGACGGAGAAGGAGCATACACCTCCGAAAGACATACTTCTTTTGCTGATGGTGGAACTGTTTAGAGCTCAACTAGAAATCTTTTAGAATAACTATGATAACAAAATAAGCAACAAACACTGAATTTTTGTTTTACTTTTTTTTTTTTTTTTGATAGGCAGAGTGGACAGTGAGAGAGAGAGACAGAGAGAGAGAAAGGTCTTCCTTTGCCGTTGGTTCACCCTCCAATGGCCGCCGCTGCAGCCGGCGCACCGCGCTGATCCGATGGCAGGAGCCAGGAGCCAGGTGCTTTTCCTGGTCTCCCATGGGGTGCAGGGCCCAAGCACCTGGGCCATCCTCCACTGCACTCCCTGGCCATAGCAGAGAGCTGGCCTGGAAGAGGGGCAACCGGGACAGAATCTGGCGCCCCGACCGGGACTAGAACCCGGTGTGCCGGCGCCACAAGGTGGAGGATTAGCCTATTGAGCCACGGCGCCGGTTATGTTTTACTTCTTGAATTTTGGAGCTAGAGGTTCTCTCTGCCCTTGAACAGATACTGAAAATGGACTTGGTAGGAGTTCCAAGTTCTCCTCACCCCCTTCCGCAGACACCTGCCATTAAAATAGAAGATGATCTGAGAAAAGCTTGCGACTGCACAATAAATATTAGGTAAATGTCCCATTTGCTTCGACTTCATAATAATACCAAATAAATTGATTTTATTCTTAGATTTTAGTCATATTAGGTTACAATGACTCCAGACTGGAATCTAGGCTACAGCTTAGGCAAAATATTTCATTATATGGGAACCTATGACAGGCATTGGCTAAATAAGTAGGTTCATAAAATTGCTGGAAATTTAAAAGCAGTTGGGGCAAAACTTTGGATGGGAACTGGGAAAGGGAACAGAGGAAATAATTTTTTGGCGGATATTCATTTTAAAAGTAATTTCCTTTCCCATGACAGAGATAAGAAAACCATTTAAGAATTATTTAGCTTTCAGCTTAAAAAAAAAAAGGTGTCTGGAGAGCACCACGGGTAGGCATGGAGAACGGCTGGGATGGGCACAGGATGAGGAAGGAAAGTCTTTGCGGGTGAGCAGGAAAGAGAAGTGAGAAGTCGCAAAGCAGCACACACCTTTCCTTATTCCTTTAGTAATACAATCTCCTAAGACCGTGTAATTAGGTGAGAAATAATAACAGCTGTACCATAGACCAACCCTATGTCTGTATTTTTAAAATGTAAACAAAACACAAATTAAGGAGAGATTAAATACAAAGGATCCATCATGTGAGTCATGGAAAGAGCAAGCTCCTCTGGGGAGTGCTTTTAAAAGAACCCCATTTACAAAATAAATAAATAAATAAATTTAGAAACAACATTTCAAGATTATAAAGTGAGTTACAGCTGATTTAACATAATGGAACTCTGCTATTTTATGTGTAAAAAACTGACTGGACTTTGAAACAAGAAACGATGTTCTCCTTGTTAATAAAAGTCGAAGACAATTTTAGTCCAGGACAGCACAATTATTCTGCATAGATCTTTGGGACCAATCCTACTGCCCCCGCCTCGACTCCACCACACCCCACCCCAGGGCCTTGGAGTAACAGGTTTTTCAGTGTCCTGGGCCATAGGAGAAATGATTACACGTCCAGTAGCAGCAAATGTTGATGTGCATGAGTGTTCCTTAGAGATAAGGGAGCCAGAGCAACCAACCCAAGTCCAGGGCCTAGGTGATATTCAGTGGCAGGAACCTCCAAAATGTGAGGAATGTAGACAGGCAAGATTTTCTTCTGTGGACCCTTCTGAACTTTCCAGGGGCTGGATGTAGCCCTTGCTATCTCAAAGACAGGCAGAATACTGTCAAAGTAAAAATACCAGATACTCATGAAATCTGTAGCGGGGACAGAGCTTCTCATCTGCAAACCCTCTGCCTTTCCCCCAGGAAATGCCACGTTCTGTAACAGTACATGACACGGGATTGTTTTTTCTGAGTCTCAGGTCATGCTTAGGCTATATTAGTCATTGAACAAATGTGCAACTTCTACAGTTTACCACAAAGTCATAGGCAATAATGAAGTTACTTTGCAAAATCAGCACTCAGATGAGAGCAAATGGCGTTTGAATTCACATTTATTGATTTAACATTGCAGTCCTACAGGTGCCAAGTTGAGCATAGCTAAGTGACACAACTGTATCTTCTGAACATCGAGTATTACCCATCTCATATACTGCATTTGATTGTTAATAAATAAATCTTTACTAATGCTTGCATAGAAAATGCAAGTACTAGGTGGGTATCCACCACCTAGTACTATCTTGTTTTTGCTCAGTTGCTATAAAAGGACATTTTAGCTCATTCAAACAAATCCCAGAGAAATCCTACTATCATACAATGTCAAAAGCAAAGCTGAAACTATATTCAAAATGTATTCAAACTACTATAACCATTTCATACCATTATATGTTGCCATGGATTGATTTAGGACAAAATCCCAATAAAAATATGGTTTATAAAAATGTGGTTCTATTCCTTGTTTGCTTTACTTCATACATATTCTATCCATGGTTAGAAACAAGCCACGATAGTGGTCTAGCCCTGAATTTCTATCTATGGAGAGAAATCAGGCATAACCATGGTCTAACCCTGAATGTGATCTCAATGTTTTATACCACGGGATAATCATTAACATATGGAAATAACCCTCCCAGCTGCTCTGTTAATTTTTTTTTTTTTTTTTTTAGTTTTCTAGTCTTTACTGCCTCCATTCTATACCCCATCCTAAACTCTTCCTGCTGTTCTGTCCCCCATTTGAAAAGGATTCCTTTTTTTCCCCCAAAGTAAGGATGTGTTGGGAAAATGATCTTTCATTCCTTGTTTCTACCCCACTGTTCCATTGGCCCCAGTGGCTGCTCAACAGCCCCTTTTAACCTCTACATTAAGTGTTCACTATCAAGTTCACTGCTGTTTTCTCTTTCCTGGTAAGAGGAGGCTGTGGGTGCTTCCCTTCCCTTTGCTCTGCTGGGCTCCCCACAAAGAAGCCTCTCAATGTAGCCTATCCTCAAATTTCTCTTTTTAATAAAGTCTGTGGTGAGCTTATGTCTCTAAATCATTTTTTACCTCTCAGAGCCATTTACTTTCCCTCTGTAACAGCCAACGCTCTCTCCTCTCTCATCCCCTGGTGCTGATTTCTATTCCTGTAATCTCACTCAGTAGAACGAAATGTGTTATTTCTGGCTATAGATAATATATTCCCATATCACTCTCACAAACCACAGAGTGAGTTCTGTGAGACAAGCTTTTTTCCATGCCACTTCCACTGACTGCTAACAAAGCATTGTACATAAATGATGTGAATGAGAACTACAGGTTAACAACTAAATGGTTAAAAATAAGGAAAAAAGGAATTCTTTACACACATTTTTACAGAACAGCCTACAGGGTATTAAAGCAATGGTTCCCAGAGGCTGACCCAGTGACCAGCCTGGACTCGCTGCATGAGAATCACCCGGGAGGTTGTTAATCATAAACATTGGTAGGCTCCGCCCCTAGAGTTTCTAATTCAGTAGGTCAGGGGTTTGGGAGCCACTGATAGAGAGTGTAAATCAACCTCAGCAGCTTGAGTAGAGGCCCCATAAGCACATATATAACAACACGTGGATGCCAAATTTTCTACCCATGTGAGCTTTTAGAATTCGCACAGTGATTAATATGCTTGGAGAGAAGTATGAGAAGACGTCTCAGTACAAGTTAAGTCCTGATGGGAGGAACGATAAAAGCCAAGGTATGTATTGGCCTGTCTACTCACCAGGAGTATATTAGATGGTCTACAAGAACAGATTACAAAGAGAGGTGAGCAGATCCTCTCCCTCCTTCAGCACCTACCAGAAAATGTGCTTTTCAGAGATTAATCTACGGGATCAGTAATTTATTTAGCTTTTACCTAGTGCATGGTCCCATTTGGAAATGAAACAAAAACAAGAATGATGGAAACTGACTTGGGCAAAACTGAACAAGCACTTCAGGAAGTCTCTCTTCCTAAAGCACAATGGACCTTTCCTTCACTGGGAATGAGAACACGGTACTGAGGTAAGCTACAGCCCTCTGTGACCGTCACTTCCATATATTCTTTAGATTTTGGGATAACATTTCCTCCACATGGGTACCAGCCTTTGCACATGTATGTAATGAGTCTCCCCTGCCCTAGGGACCTACTTATTTGTAACTGTCAACCTGTTCCAAGAAAAGGTATTCTTTTTTATGTAGGACTCCTGGACCACCTGTCCTTCTCCCCCTAAAAGACCTTCTTCTGTGTAATCCAGAAACCACTAGCCCTATGAGGGGCTATTAAGTATTTGAAATATGGCTGACTAGTCAATATTGAGAGGTGCTCTTGAGACTTGTGAAAACAAAGAAAACATCTCAAAAATTTTTATGTTGATTAACATGTTATTATGACAACAAGATCCGTTATTAAGATTAATTCTACCTGTATCTTTTTATTTCTTACATATGGTTCTTAGAAAACTTAAAATTATATATGTGGTAACTGTTTGATTTCTATCAGCACCATTCTAGATGAAGTATAATATTTACTTTCTACCTCAAAGCTTGGCAGGGATGTCCCCCCAGCACTTTCTATCCCATGGGCTCTCTCATCTGAGCACACTCGCTCATAACTTCTCACTTCACTCTGCCCCAATCCAGTCTCTCAGACTCCACCAATGACTTGAAATGGTTCTGGCCGACTTTCTGCGAGTCACATCACGTCTTTTCTTTCAACGGGTTCTTAATTTTCACCTCTTTGATGGCATCTTGTACTTTTCAAAGAAAACTGCACAGCTGCCTACTATTCACTTTCTAGACACTTCAGTTTGGCCATAGAACTGGCAACTTTATTTCCGATTCTTATCAAAGACTCATTTACTCAACAGCATCCATTGGGCACTTCCTGGAGACCAGGCACTACCCAAGCCATAGGGGATACTTAGTAATGTCAGCACATTGCCCTTAAATGACATGTGGCATGCTGCTGATAGCAACACACACCCTCAACCAGGACTCTGCTGCCCTCAGACCCAGAAAGACTCTACCTGCAAACTCCTTCTGAGGAGGGATTTAAATGCAGAGCTCACAGAACACAAGGTTCTGACTTAGAAACTTGAAACTACTTATTCTCCCCTCCTCCCATATTAAACATTTCTCCTCTCTTCCACCATGAATCCTTCTTCATGTTTCCCTGATATCCCTACAAATTCCATTGGTCTTTGTATCCCCACTCTTTTTGCTGGCCCAGGACAAAACACTGTGTGTGTGTGTGTGTGTGTGTGCGCGCGTGCGCATGCATGTGTGTGTGTGTAAGAGAGAGAGAAAGAGAGAGAGAGAGAGAGGGAGGGAGAGAGAGGGAGAGGGAGGGAGGGAAAGGGAGGGGGAGGGAGGGGGAGGGGAAGAGAGAGAAAGAGAGGTTGATTTTTGAATATTATGGTTCCCATTTAAAAATAAGGAAACAAAGGTAGGGAAGTTCAATACTTAATGAGGTCACACAGGTAATGAGTGGAGGAGTTAGAATTTATACTCAGGCAGCCTAACTTCAGAGTTGGAGTCATTAACACTACACAACCACAAAGAACCGCCAATTCAGAAAAGGTAGCCCTCATGTGAAGCATGCATAGGATAAAGACAGCTGAAGGGAAGGAGAAAGAATGTGGGAGGAATATTACTGAATTTTCTGTTTGAGCCCCTGGAAAATATGAAGGCAGAAACTACCCTTTGGTCTCTGTAATAATACAAGTGGATTTGTGGCCATGCATTAATTATGGAGGGTCCACTCCTAATAGTCCATAAAGTTCTATCTGGATATAAACAGAACTATAAAACAGTACAAATGCATGTCTCTGAGGAGAACCTCAAAGGAGATTTTGATTCTATGTAACTGCCTTGTATACAGCATCATAGCCAAACAGCCTACTCTACAACCAGGTGGGGACACTTGCAACAGACCCTGCTCACATTAGGTCTGTCCCTGGAACTCTACTTACATGCAGAATAATCTGCTTTTAATATGAAGCCATGTGCTGCAGTGCCTGAAATCTCTCCCCAGAAGTTCTATCAATTATAATTTCTAATCACCTATAAAATGCAAAGTGCGCTTCTGTTCAACATGCTGGTTCGAACATGTATGCTTGTCTCAGCTTTCTGCAAACTCCAGTAAAATGTCAGCACGTCAATCCTAATTGACTATGATTGGCTGTGACTGTCTTCAGATCCATTTCTTACTCTTGCTGGACACTGCTCTGCTCTATAGCATGGAGGGAATGGCCTTTGCAATGCTGGACTTCCCAGGCTTTCATGGATTTAGGAAAAAGGATTACTAGTGGGTGGGAGACTATAGGTGAGAACCAGGGAGAAACCAGAGGATTTCTGCCCACCCCTTTCTGCTGCAGGCTGAGGATTTCACAGTGGCTTGCATCTCCTCTGAGGTTCCATCTACCAACAGACAGACCTACAATGGTTCAAGCATCCACCAGGGTTACAAAGCCCTGGGCTCAGTCTCTATCCCTCCTTCACTCTGTCTCCCTTCCTTGGGATGGTAGCACTATTGTTAATCTCTTGGTTGCCTCACAGATCTTTGTTGGCTCCTCTGCAATTCTATCATCAGTATAACTAATTCCTTGCATTAAATTGCCATTGTTTCAAATACTCAGAGTGGGTGTATTCTCCTGATTGGGCTCTGAGTAACACAGCTAGTTAAGGAGTAATAATTATAAATAAGGAGAAACCTATAAGGATAAAAAGATCAGGGCAGGAAGTACCAGTAGATATGCAATGTCAACACATTTTTGTAAGATGGAAATGAATGGAACAATGATTACACCTTGGCAGGACAGAAGGGATGAATGTACCATAAGCACTTGTGGAGGGGGACTCCAGTGAACACCCTGGGGTGCCTCAGGCTTTAGAAGAACACATACCATAGAAGGTAGGCGTATATGACTGAAAATAAGATTGCTTGAAAGTCTCCTCACTAAAGATCTGAAGCTAAAACTTATTTTCTGGAGGCTGAATGAGAGCAGCCCCAGACTGGGGATCACACAACAGTGGCAAGTTAGAAAGTGGGTCCCATGCTAGAAATAGGGTATTTATGTGACTTTCTTCATTTTTAATGATGGGACTGTCAAATCACACAGGTTGAGTGAAATGTTCTTCACTGGAGAAAGACTATCCTCAAAAAAGACCTCCAAATATTGACACTGGAAGTAGGGGAGGTATACCTAAAATGAAAGTCAGATCATTGCTTACAATCCCACCTTCAAGTAGTCCCATCACCCCATTTGCTATGAGTTTGACAATGTGGAAAACCGTAGAAACATTTGGACAGAAATAACAATGAGCAATAATCTTATAGCAAAGTAAAGAATGAGCATATGAGGTAATGATTAATGAGGAAAATAAATCATTGAACACCACTTGCTTCCACAGTGGAAAGCATTTACATAGTCAAAACAATGCAAACAATTGATTATTGATGAACAGTGGAAGAAATGAAGGGAGGAGAAATGGGAATAGTATAATTACAGAATATTTATAGTTGACGAATGAAGGAAGAGTAGTGTACTACTTCCCTACTGTGTCCCACACCTCTCCTAGCTCTGGTGGTTGTTAGCAATGCTTGGCATTCATTGGTTTGCAGTTGCCCAACACCCATATCTGCCTTTGGTACCATATGCACTATGTCTGTCTGTCTGAGCCTCCTCTCTTTTTGTTGTAAAGATACCAGTCATATTGGATTTAGGAGCCACCCTGTTTTAATATGACCACATCCTAACTAATTATATCTATAGAGATCTTTTTTCTACATAAGGTCATTTTGTGAGGTTCTGGGAAGTTCAAGAATTGGCAGGAGGCACTATATAACTCCTACAACCAACATGAGATTTGGAAATAAGGAAGTGAAGTCTAAAAGAGCTGAAGGGGCTGGCACTGTGGCATAGTAGGTTAATCCTCCGCCTGCAGTGCCGGCATCCCATATGGGTGCTGGTCCTAGTCCCACTCCTCCTCTTCCAATCCAGATCTCTGCTGTGGCCTGGGAAAGCAGCAGAAGATGGCCCAAGTCCTTGGTCCCCTGCATCCACATGGGAAACCTGAAAGAAGCACCTGGCTCCTGGCTTCGGAACGGTGCAGCTCCAGCAGTTGTGGCCCTCTGGGGAGTGAACCAATGGATGGAAGATCTTTCTCTTTCTCTCTCACTGTCTGTAACTCTACCTCTCAAATAAATAAATAAAATCTTTAAAAAACTTAAATAAAACAGCTGAAAGTTCCAGGTCTTTACCTCTCGAATGGACACAGCTGGATGGAGAGGACTGAGTAGAGGAATAAAGTTTATGCTTATAAGGCTTGGGGCAGACACATCTATGGCATACTGCCACCCAGGTTTCCTCCTCCAGGTCAGAGGGGAGAAGCACATTTCTTTTCCTACTGGTTACCCAGGTGTGGCCAAGTGACTAATTCTTAACAAGAGGATGAGGAGGAAATGACACTTTTGATGAGAAATGTAGTTGCAGTGTGAGACTGTTCAGCTCCATCCTGCCTGCCACAGGATGACGAAAGCATGAGTCAAAGCAGAGCCACAGAATGAATTCAGTGAGCAGAGGCCCCCAGGGAATGTTTGTGTCCCCCTGAAGTCCATATATTGAAATCCCAATTCCCTGGTATTGGTAGGTGGGGCTTTTGGGGGTGATTAGGTCATGAGGGAGGAGCCCTCATGAATGAGATTAGTGCCCTTCTAGAAGACACTTCAGAAAACTGCTCTATTCCCTCCATCACGTGAAGGCACAGCCAGAGGGCACCATCCCTGATCGAGAAAGCGGGCCCCTGTCAGATGCTGATCTGGCTGTGCCTTGAACTGGGACTCTCAGCCTCCAGAACAGTGGGAAATACATTTCTGGTGTTTACAAGCCATCCATTTATGGTACTGTGTTACGGTAGCCAAATAAACTAAGATATTATTGGTTTATTTATGGTGTGTGGCAAATAAACTAAGATACTGAATTAGATATGAGGCAGGGGTGATGAAAAACATCCATGTTGTAATATACTGAGATTTGGGATTTGTTTGATACTACAGCGGCATGACCTAGCCTACTTTGATTGAGACGAGGCTGGGATTTTATTTAAATTGTGTAGGATGTACATTTATCATTTTGATAAAATAAGAGAAACTGTAAATGGTAAGAGAATACATGAAACCACTCAGCACTGGTAATTTTGGCAGGCCAGTTTTTTAATGACATGATATTCCAGGCACACTGGATTCTGAGTTGTCACGGGCACTATAAAGAGGAACATGGGAAATGCCAAGCCAAACCTCACTTCACAGCATTTCCAGGGTTGCTTTTGACTCTGTTTGGATGTTATTACTTGAAGGGTGGTTCACTGAATTACTATGAGTATGAATATGGCTCATTTTTCATGTACTGGACTTTGGCACAATAAATGTGCTTGGAGTCTAGTCTTCTTTCTGGGTTTTATTTGTGACCAATACTTTCCTTTGCTGAATCAAAAACAATAGATTCTAAACATTTACTTGCATTTCTTTGTTCAAGGGGATTTTTTTTCACTCTGTAAATTATCAATTCTGTTCTGTGGATATGAATCTATTTCTGTATAGAAATGTGGTCATGCCCTGTGCAAGGCAATAGCAAAGAGATGCCAGCATTACAGTTGGCTCTATGTACTATGTCACTTCTATGGTAGTGCCCAAGAGACACACCTTAGCAATCTTGCATATTCTACTTCTGTTGCGAAGTCAGTTGCATATATTTTGGGCTTTCAGTTTACTATATGTGGGCGTATTCAATACCCTTTCCATTGTAATACAGGTGAAATACCATCTAGTATCCAGTTCCCTCTTCCTTCAAGGCACCTGGAAGGACTGTGTTTTCCCTCCCCCCTTGAAGTTAGTTAAGGACATATGATTAATTTTAATTGATGAATGCCATTTTCATGAAAACATTGCTATAACAAGAAGATACAAAACCCCAGTAACTTGGCACATCTGTTTCAAGAAACACACAATCCAGCTCCAGTATAGCAAAATAATAGTTTTTGAAGTTCACTGTGATAAGATTGTGAGCTCTTCGAAAACCATGCTGGCTTAGGAACCACAAGTTAGATACTGAATGTGTGTTTGCTGAATGAAGGATTGAGTGAATTAGTAACTACACTTTTAATACCATGTCTCGTTTAAATCATTCTTATGTTTCTATATTCATTTGAACACTTCACTAATTTGAAAAATTACTCTTTAGTGAAAAACAATTTAATTTTCAGCAAACTAGCAATAGTATTCTGGCTTTTCAAAGAAGGTTAACATGGACTCTAAAAAGGAAAGGCCAGTGTATTTTACTTTCTATTTCTCAAACTTTTGAAAAAATAGTTCAGGGGTGCACATATCTTGCTTTTGAATATAATTTGTGGTTTTCTTCTTTCTTTGCCTGGGTTTAGTGTTGGGAGGCTGTTACAGAGTAAAATTTTCTTCCAATATGCATATTTTGAAGTTTGTAACTCCAATGTGATGGTATTTGGAGGTGAGGCCTTTGGGGTGTGATTGGGTTTAGGCAGAGTCATGAGGGTAGAAGCACCCATGATGGGATTAGTGGGTTTATAAGAAGAGGAAGAGACATTGGAGCTTCCTCCTTGTACCACGTTGTGTGGCAACACCAAGTAAAAGCTACCTGTAAGTCAGGAAGAGGGCCTTTGTTCAAAATCAAATTTCCAGGGATCTCAAACTCAGACTTCTCAGATAGGAGAAATATATGTCTGTTGTTTAAGCTACACAGTCAGTGGGTATTGTTATTGCAATCCTCTATGTAATTTTACATGCCTGTCACAATTACCTTCTTTTTTTTTTTTTTTTTGACAGGCAGAGTGGACAGTGAGAGAGAGAGAGACAGAGAGAAAGGTCTTCCTTTTGCCGTTGGTTCACCCTCCAATGGCCGCCACGGCCGGTACACCGCGCTGATCCGATGGCAGAAGCCAGGTACTTCTCCTGGTCTCCCATGGGGTGCAGGGCCCAAGCACTTGGGCCATCCTCCACTGTACTCCCTGGCCACAGCAGAGAGCTGGCCTGGAAGAGGGGCAACCGGGACAGAATCCGGCGCCCCGACCGGGACTAGAACCCGGTGTCCCGGCCCCGCAAGGCGGAAGATTAGCCTATTGAGCCGTGGCGCCGGCCTACCTTCTCTTGCTTCCAGAAAACAGCCTAGGATTCTGCTACATAGTTAGGTAAATTAAATAATATCCCCACCCAATGACCATTTTGAATCATCAAGTATTTTCTAATTCTGGTAATACTGGTTTGTTCAACCTCCATTGGTGCATGTTAACTGTTCTTAGGCTCTATCCTGGGCATAGTGCTCTTGGATTTTACTCAATACAAATAAAGAGAAACTTTCACTAAACTCCAAGAGCTTCCAAACTGAATAAATGGGCAGCTCAATAATTCAGCTGCAAATAATTTTTTTGAGAGAGACAGAGAGAACTCCCATCTGCTGTTGCAATTCCCAAATGTCTGAAATGGCCAAGAATGGGCTGTGGCCAAAGATGGGAGCAGGGAACTCCATCCAGGTTTTTCCCATGTGTGGCAGGAACTAAGTTACTCAAGGCATTACCACTGCCTCCCAGGGAATCTGGAATCAGGAGCGAGAGCCAGTGCCAGGAGTCAAAGCCCGAGAACTCTAATGTGGGATGTTGGCATCTTAACCTCTAGCTAAATACTCACCCTCTAGACACAGGTTTACCTTTTTAAAAAGTGCTCTAGATAACATTAAACTCCTGAAGATTTTGTTATTATTTTTTTTTGCAAAATAACAAATAGATTCAATGTATTACCCTGATTTGTATCTCCTAGAAGAGCAAGTGACTTTTCCTACATTTGTATTGGCAAACAGTTATAGGAATGAATTCTTTAAGTACCATGTAAGAAGTTAACTTGAAATGTTGGAGTCTCACACCAAAATGTAATTAAATAGTAATCTGTTATATGTAATGTCAAATGAAAATAAGCTGTCATAATGGATAAAGTTAAGTTTCTACATGATTTTGATAAATTTATCTCATTTACCAGTATAGCCACAAATCATACCTCATGGTTGTCATATGAAAGCAGTAAAATATTACATACCTTCAAATGACCTCTACTGAGAAATGCTTTTCACTGTTCAAATTTTATCTGTCAAATAGTACTTTCTTTAAGAAGCAAATATAAATGCCATTATAGGGAGAAGCTACCAGCCTGGGACAAGTTCTAGCATTTAGTGTTCTGACAGATCTTAATTTGGATATCAGCCAAAGTCAATAAAACTTGTTCATGCAGAACCTTACCTGGTTTTCACCACATCGAGGGGGTGCATCAGACAAATTTCTACAAGACCTGAAAGATGATAAAGAAAAGTCCAATAAACATTCATATAAACACTGTTCTTATTTCCTTGACCCTATTGATTCTCAGGCATGAAGATTTAAATAAATAAGTTGGCATTTTGGACATGACAGCTAATAAATAATGGCAAAAATCAAAAATATAATATGATTTCAATGGGAGCAAGGTCTGTTACTGCTTTCTTTACAAATGCTCTGACAGGGAGGAGGGGCTGCAGGGGAAAGAAAATGAAAAAGGAATAAAATGTTCCAAATTCCAACCAGCTAGGCAGGAGTCATTATATCCCCACCCAGCCCAGTAAGTACATGCAGCATACGAAGGAGGAGAGAGGGTAAGAGGGTCTTTGAGTCTCCCTTCCTACTAATACAGCGAATCATCAATCTTAGCTTCACTATCCATGAGCAAAGATCATGATGCCTCTTATCTCACCAGGCAGTTATGGGAATCCAATAATTCCAATACTACATTAAGAGCTTAATAAAGATAATTATTGAGTGCTCATCATGTACTAGGCATCATTTCAAGCAATATGTGTATTCCCTAATTTAATCTTCACAAGGACTCTAAGTGACAGGAGTCACAAGGGTACTGTAAACAGCTCATGGGAAAATGGAATTAAAAGCCAGCTTTATTCTGGTAAAATATTCTTGAACTCCATGCAATGTTTTTCATAATACACATTTTCCACAGATTTTTTTGAAGACCCTCTTGTATGCATGTATTTCAATATTTGTTGGACTAAAATAAAGTTTTAAATTCCATTTCCACAAACTTCTTGAATATCCCTGTATTATCCCTTTTTATGGATGACATAATTTAGGCACATAAAATTAATTTATCTAGATGTCACATCTAGGAATTAGTTTTAATGCCCACCAA